CAATTTTTTAATTGTCCGACGCCGTTTTACTACGCGAGCATTTTGCGATCGATTGGCGACTGAAATAGTCGGTCGCAAACAATCGGTCGCACTTTTATCTCATTTCGGTCCCAGAATTTATCCATTTTTTTACGCGGACATTTTTTGCGACAGAAACACAGTTAGTCGCAAAGCGGTCGCCAAATCGGTCGCAAAGGAGTAGTAATTCAGTCGCAAACAGAGAGGCAAACTCGCGCGAATTTTCCGCGCTAAATTTTGCGACTGATTGGCAAACAGTCGCAAATCGGTCGCAATATTGCGACCTTGCGTACCGATTTTGGTCGGTTCGCAATTTGGCGTTTTTTTTTGTAGTGTTATCTTTCTCTTTTTAAAAAAAAAATTAGTAAATTTTTTTTATTTTTCTATAATTTTTAATTGGAATCTTGAATATATTTTTAAATTTTTTTACATTACAATTGTTTTAACTATATAAATTATTATAAGTTCGAAAATTTTAAATTATTTTATTTTATTTTATTTCATTAATATTTTTATGTTAATTTAAGTACCGCAAGCGAAACACGAATCAACGACCAGTGAAACCAAGTTGTCAACGTTCAAGAAAAGCAAACAAAAGCTATAGGATAAATAGAAAAAAAAAAATCAAAAAAAGATTGCCTTATTAAGCAAGGAAGAATCGTAGGTCAATTAGTCAAAGATAGTAGCTTAATATACATCACGGAATTTACTATTTAGATATGAAGATTTTTTCTTCTAGAAGAAAAAAAAGTTGCATACGAAGTTAAAGAACTCCACAATGCTTCAACAAGTATTTCATTTAAACAATAACTTTCAGTGGTGAAAATTGTGAGTTTTGGGCAATTAAAAATGGAAGCCTTTCTCATGTCCAATGATGAGTTGCATGTGGTTGAATAAGGCTATTTATGAAGAACCACAACTACAACAAAAGAATGCAAAGAAAATGATATAAGGGTACTCATCTTCATCTACGTATCATTATTAGAAGAGATTGTTCTGATTTTGTTAATTGATCTTTTTTTTCCAACAAAAGAACCACAACTACAACAACCTTTTTTTTCCAAAATCTAGCTAATTTATATAAAAAACTTGATCTTCTCTCTTCTGGGCTGTTAATTGTTCTGATTTTGTGTTGTTTGTTAAAAGACGATGGCGACGACATAAACTGGTTGGAGTGCATTTTCAACCTTTTTTTTAAGAAGAAGACGAAGACGACGACATAAACTGGTTAGAGTGCATTTTCAACCTTTTTTTTCCAAAATCTAGCTAATTTTTACGTAAAAAAAAAAAAAAAAAAAAAAAAAAAAAAAAAAAAAAAACGTAAAAAAAAAAAAAAAAAAAAAAAAAAAAAAAAAAAAAAAAAAAAAAAAAACTTGATCTTCTCTCTTCTAGGCTATTAATTGTTCTGGTTTTGTATTGTTTGTTAAAGGAAAAGAAGAGTCAACGATAGCAGAGGCTTACGCGGTGAATGACGGTGATCGTTCTCTGCTAGCACAGACAAAATGTTTTGGGCTCAGTTTGGAGTATTTTAGTTAAAGAAGATAAAAGTTTTGTGACAAAAGCTGTTGATCGAGAATTGACAGAGAGAGAGGAAAAAAGTTTTTGGATTGTGAATTAGTTAGGGATTTGGGGAAGTTAGTGTTTAAGTTGTAGGTAACTAAGGTTAAAACGGTAATTTAATCATCTTTGCCATGTTGGATTGCTTACATGGATTAATTGTCATGTCATGTAAGTAGACACGTAGACAAATATGGATCTCACTTCATCCCATTAAACAATCCGGCTATCCACTTTATTAAGAGACACCAAATTAAAAAAAAATTGGAAGTCCAAATACTCAATTATCACTATTGTCCATTCAGACACCAAAATAGAAAAAAATGCAAGTTCAAACACCAAAAATAACATTATTCCATTTACAAATTAATAAAATAATTTTTATTTTTATTTATTAAGTATGTTCTAACAACTATAGTAAGTTTAATTTAATTCTAAATAAGAAATTATTAAAGATTTTAATTTTATTGGTTGAAAAATAAAACTAATTTAATTATTAAGGATATAAATTTTCTATTTAATTTAAGGATATAAATTTTCTAATTTAAATATATTTTATTGGATAAAATAATAAATTATATTATATATTATAAAAGATTATATATGGTAAGAAATATCAAGCTTTAAGAATTTTAAATTTTATTGGTTTGAAAAATAAAGATAATTTACTTTTTGAATTAATAAATTCCATTAGTTAGAAATAAGGAATAAAGATTATTTACTTTTGTGAATAATAAATTTGTATTAGTTAATTGAAATTTTGTATTTCTCTTGACAATTAAAATACATACAAAATGTTAAGTTAATATTAAATTAATTTTTAAAAGTAATAAAATGTAAATAAACTAAATCAAATATATAAGATTCCTAAATAATAATAAAATAATTAATAAACTATATATCATATATATAATATATATATATTCTTAAATATAAATAAAATATATATTAATCATAATCAAAAAAATTCTATCCATCTTAATTTGGGAATGAAAATCCTACTATAGATATTTTGGATTGAATCCAAAAATTAAATCAATTATTACTTATAATTTTATTTGCAAAAAGATTTAATTATTTTAATTATTTTATATTAAAAATCTAAAAATAATATTTATAAATTATAAATTGAAATTCTTTTCTTTTCCTCATATTTTCTTTTTATTTGCGTTATTAATATTGTTAATTACTTTTTGTCTTATCATTCTCTTGAAAATATTAATTATGTTATCCATAATCTGCTAAATAAGTTTCTTAATCAACTTTCAATTAATATAAATTTATTTTTTTAAAAAAAATTTATTTAAATCATGATTGTAATCTTTTGAACATTTAACATTTTTTTTTTTAAGTTGTTATATATTTTTAGCTTAAAAATTTTTTTATATTTTGATTTTAATATTACATCAATTATTATGATAATAAAGGACAAATATTTAAAGATAATAAAGGACAAATATTTAAATTATAACTCAATTGAAAATTTAATTTATCAAATAACTACATTTTCTTTGGCTACTTTAAGAATTTTTTTTTTTTCTTTTATTATCAATAATTTATTGAAGATTATCTACTATCAAGAGTTTCTTTACTATTGCTATATCAAAAAATTCTCACTTTATTATTATTAATAACTGAGGTATTAATTTTAACTTTTGATTTTTTTTTATTTTGGTTTATTATCACGAAAAAAATTTTGAATTTGATTATCAATAATTTATATATGTATATTTTTATATATATATATATTGAGATCTTAGATCAAATGATTATTTATTTTCAACTTCGTAACTATTTCATTTTGTTAAAAAATCTATTATAAAAATCATTAAAATTTTTCATCAAATACTAGATATGTATGATAGTGGTTTCCACCTATTTTTATACATATAATAGTTATAACTAAAAATATTGAATTTTTATATCATCTCTATAAAAATTAATAAAAAAATATATAAAAAATAAATTATAAATAATTATTCTAACTGATTTCTTGAACACTAGTATATATATATTAGATTTTTTTTTTTGTTTTTTTTCTTGAAGTACTGTAAAAGGGATATATTCTAAACCTAGATGATTATACCTAGATAATTACATGTGATATTAAATTAGTTGGGGCCTCAACCAAGGATAAGATTCCCATGCAACTTTTGAAATAATGACTATGGGGCCTGAACAAAAATTAAGAATCCTAAGTTTCTTGATCGCCAAAACGTAATGTTCGCTTTAAATAATTTTTGACACTTGTCTTGTAGGATTTGCTTATTCCAAGTTTATTTTTCCATCAGATTAATTTTCTGAATAAAAGGTTATTTTAAATGCTATTGGAAGAAGCAATTTGAGAATTTTCTTTAATTATATTGGAGTTTCTATAAATAAAATGTGTGTAAGTTCTCTTTAATCAGGATTTTTAACATGTATAATACTTTTATGGGCAGCAAACATGGCATTATCATGTCAATAAACTTTACTTTTTGATCACTTGTGATTGAATATGTTGCTATGCAGGAAATGTTTTTTGGTGGGACTGAAACTACGAGTGGAACCATTGAATGGGTGATGACAGAGCTGTTTAGGAACCCTGCAGAATCAATGAAAAAAGTCAAAGAAGAGCTAAATCGAGTGATAGGATCTAACAGGAAGGTTGAGGAGAGTGACATAGATGAATTGCCCTACTTGGATTACAGGACACAAACTTTATGGGGTATGAAATACCTAGGACACATCCTGTAGTCTCGAAGAAATACATTACAGGACACACAAACTTTATGGGGTATGAAATACCTAGGACACATCCTGTAGTCTCGAAGAAATACATTACAGGACACAAACTTTATGGGGTATGAAATACCTAGGACACATCCTGTAGTCTCGAAGAAATACATTACAGGACACAAACTTTATGGGGTATGAAATACCTAGCACACACAAGTTTTTGTAAATGCATGGAGTATTGGAAGCTTGGGAAGATCCCTTGTGTTTCAAGCCTGAAAGATTTATAGGCTCCAATATTGACTATAGAGGCCAAAACTTTGAGTTATTACCATTTGGAGCAGGAAGAAGAATTTGTGTAGGTATTCCAATGGCTCACCGTGTGGTTCACTTTGCTGTAGCATCTTTGCTTCATTGCTTTGACTGGGAACTGGACAGTAATTCTGCTGCTGAGAACTTGGATGTTAAAGAAAGGATGGGAATTACAGTAAGAAAGCTTAAACCCGTCAAAGCAATACCAAAGAAGAAGATGATGGCTGAATGAAGATCTTTCCTGCGCTTTTTTCTTGGTTTGGTTTTAGTTCTGTTGGATTTGTTGAACAGTAGATGTGCTTAAACTTTGTCGTTCGAAAGTCCTTTAAAATATGTTAAAAAAGAATGGTCTCTTACGCTATAATGTTGTGACTTTAAACTCCTAATTGGAACCAAAATTTGCTCAAAGTGAAATTTGCATTTCCTGATACTATAGAAATTATCATACAAGATAAGATATACTTTACATATAGAATGCCCTAAGACTATAATTAATTGCCCTAATAATTGATTCAATGAGCCATGACTTGCTCCAAAGAAAGTAGACACAAAGTGGACATGCTACAAGTAGTAGTTCATGGAAGCATTGTCAAGTAGACCAAATCATCCGTTTGGGGGTGCATCTGATAAAGATTGATCATCTTCAAGTCATGAGACTTTTGAATATCTTGTTGTACTCCATACCTCGTTGCATATATTGTCGTCCTTTTTCAGAACTGTAATCAACTCTGAACACTGAAGACTCCGGCTGGTGTGTTTCATTAAGGTATCCATTAATCCTGCAAATGTAGTTTAGGCCCACAAGAAGCTCTGTAATTGCAGCTTCAGTTTTTGCTTGATTTGCATAATGGAGTGTTTGTACCAGAAGGACATTTGTCCTTGAAACTTCCTGCTCTCTCTCAAAATTTCTCTCAGAATGCCATCTTATCATGTTATGTGCAAGTGGAGACAACCATTTCAATGTCCGTTTGAGTTCCCGACTCCATTCTTCTGCAAGGGAAGCATCATATGCAAATGAACCTAGAGATTTGCCATAACCCTTGAATCTAGTTCTTAAAGCAGCTCTTATAGTTGTGGGTAACATATTGTACAGATCATCTCTATTTTTATAATCAATTAAGTGAGGTGATGAAGCTAAGTTCTCAACCAATACAATCACATTTGCATAATGAAGAGCTAGCTCAGCATGGCCAAGAGTAGATGGAGAAGCATCCAGCAACCCAGATTTTGAGCTGAAAAGGGCTAATTTAGAATAAATTCTACCATTGCGAGGAGGAGATTTCGCATTCAAGCTTTCAATTTTGTCAATACTTTTTGCACAATTGCTGTTAAACTCTACAGAACCCTGGAAAGTTGACTTATAGCTCTCAAGAAAAGGAGACTCGCTTCCGCTCATCATGCATTCTTTGAATGGGCCAACATGAGACAAACGGTTGGTTTTCGAGTGATGCTGTTGCTCGTTTTTTTTATTCTTGTCAACCACTATTCTTGACATTGAATCTGATTTGCACAAAGGTCCTGTAGAGATTCCACATAAAATATTCTCTGAAGGATGTATTGATGCTTGCATAAGAACAGAAACAGAATGGCTCCGGGGAAGACAAGTAGGATTCATATAAACATGTTCATTTCCATTAGTAGATGACAGTTGGCTAATCTCAAAGACATACTTGATCCTTTGAAGTATTGTTAGAAGTGATCTCGCTAGAAGCCGGACAATGTAATCATAAGTTCTAATCCATGGAGACATCTCTTGTAAATTTCTGACTTCCTGCCGCTGCCACGTCACTTTCTGTCGAAACTCAACCAATTTCCCTCGATTAACATCAGGATTTGCCTTCATTCTTCGAAGAGTTTGCTCAAGCTCTGCAAGAACTTCAACCTCCTGAGATAATTGCATTGTGAAGGCAACAAATCTCTCCATTTTTTTCACTTTTCTTTCCATCTTTTTCAATCTATAGTCCCACTCAAACCACTCAAGATTGCCAAGTGGGTCATTGATAAAATGTTCAAAATGGCAAAATGGAGGTTTTACACACCTCCTTCCTAGCCTGGCCACAGAGCTTGATATGAGTCTGAAATTTTCCATGATCTCATTTAGTGCAAGATCCATAACATGATCATTATCATCAGCTACAAGCTTTCGAATCCCAACTGACTTCAAAATATCTTTCTTCAACCTCAATATCTCCTGGTCACTCAAAAAATGCCAAAAACTAACAACTTTGGACATCAAACTTGCAACTTCATATGCCAAAACTCCAATTGCAGCCTTGTCATTCTCTGCTGAACCCCTACCTGAATTCCGCCAAAAATTACTAAACCAAGACTCGGTCCCCATATAACTGGTTCAATCCAATCGCATATGCTACAAAAATAATGAAACAAATAATAAGATGTATTTGACACATTAGTTCACAAGATAAACACAGAGAAAACACCAAATAAAGGCAGGAAAGTATAAAACTCAAAACTTTGTTTTCTTTGTGTTATCTGAATTCTGAAATATACATACTGAATAGGAACTTTAAAAACACAAAAGCAAATTCTCATGTCTTCGAGAATAACAAAAAAAATTCACCAACAGCAATTTTGGACTTAAAAATTTGAGTCTTTTATTTCAAAGAGTTTCCTATCATTCTCCATTTTCTTTTAGTTACCAAACGAGGATTCTTTAATCTAAAAGTAAAGATCTCCACAGCTAACAAATCACAAGAAATTTAGGATATTGCAATTTCAAAGTCACAAGTCCAAATGCAGCAAAACTTCATAGCAGATAGAAAATGCACAAAACTTAACACACACACACACACACACACACACAAAGGAAAATTCTATATCAGAATAAACACAAAAATCTTCAAGAATCCTGAAAATTAACTTAACTCGTTCTGAAACCTAAGCCAATAAAATCCAGAAGTCAGACAATAAAGCATTAAATTTTAAGCTAAGAAATTGAACTTGATAAACTTCCCACAGAACTTTTAGCTAAGCCACTCAGTTTCCTCACAGATCTCAAGCCAAAAACAATAATGCAGCAATTGAAATCAACAAAATCAAATACCCAGAAATAAAAACTATTTTGTTAACCTTTAATCAAATACCCAGAAACAAAAACTATTTTTCTAACCATAAAGGTTAATAAAAGTAAGCAACACTTACAGTTGCAATAGCAATGGAATGCGAGGAAAACTTTTTGAAATGCGGAGAATTTAAGAAGAACCCATCATCAGCATCATATAGAAGATATGGAGAAGGACCAGAAGACGGGAAGTTGAGTAGAGACAAACAGGTAAACGTAGAGAAGTGAAATTCGTTGGACTCGAGGTTTAAAAGTTCCGAATATAGCTTCGCAGTTGTGGGATTATGCCTTTTCAAAATGTCATAGGATACACGATTAGAAAACAATCAAAGGACATCATTTTCTAATGATTTGTTTGTCAAAAGCTTTGGATAATTCACCATTATTTTCTGAAGTTGACTAATTTCTCTTTTCCTTTTTTCTTTTTTATACTGTTGTTTATCAGAAGGTAACTTACATATAAAATGTCTTTATGTGTGTGTCATTGTTGGATTTTGGATTGTAGAACATAACAAGAAAAGAGTTGTGTTAATGTTGATTTTGTGAAGGAGAATACGGAATTTGGGAGGCATATGCAATGCAATAATTCTTGCACAACTGTCCATGGCAACAATCCTACCATCAAAGCTAATGTGGGTGACAAAACTCTATGTACAGTGATATTTACAAGGGAATTTGTTAATACATTCTATAGAAGAAAAAGAACAGAAAACTCATTTTGTCTCTTGTTAAATTATAGGACAGATGCCAAATCTTTCATTTGTTGGCTTTATGTAATGAAGGAGACATTGATTTCATAGAAATACCATATTTGAATTCTACAATACATCAAGGAAAATATATTAAAGAATATCCCACTCAGAAACAAAGATCAAGAACTTAAAAAGAAAAAAAGAAAAGAAAAGAAAATGTGGGGCCGACTGAAAATTGAATATTTTAAGAAATGAACCTTGGGAAAGGCAAAAATGTACCGCCTACATGGGCAGTGATACATGGAACGATTCGTTCCAAGCACGGAGTATATTTTACAATTATTGGTGGGCCATAGTAATCTTAAGTGAATCAGGGACATAAAACATGAAAAAAGGTTGTAGGTGTACTCAGCTAGGGGTAAAGCAGACAATCCACTTAGTTCTTGAAAGTGACGTAAAGTTTATTTGGCTACTTGCTAAGCTAACTAAAAAAATAGATAAGTTACTATAACTTGAGTTCTTTAAACTGGACAGTGAACACTAGTTAGCAAGTTACAAATTTGTTTAAATAATAAATGAATTTTTGATAAATCATAATGATAAAAAAATTAATTGCAAGTATTCCTATGTTTTTATTAATTACAGTAAAATATATGTAAAACATGTCAAGTACTTTTATTATTATAATGTATAAATATCATTTTAATTGTTTACAATTCATGACTGTTAGGATTAATTCAAAATAATATTATGAAAAATCTGTTGAGATTTCAATTTTATTTAGTGCAGATTTTCTGCATAGAATTTGATATTTTTGTTAAATTGTTTTACAATTCCATGACTGTTAAGGAATTAATTCAAAATAATACTTAATGAAAAATCTGTTGAGAATTTCAATTTATTTTAGTGCAAGAATTTTTCCTGCAAGAATTTGATATTTTTGTTATTAAGGATTAAATGATTTTAAGAGTATTTTTAAGGTCTTATTGAATTCCAACTTGTATAAATAGACACATTCTTTTGTTAATTGAATAAAGTGCTAAACATTGTTAATCATATTGTGCATTTCCATTCTTCCTTCCAAAATTTCAACATGGTATCAGAGCCTGTCTGTTAAATGGTCACAAACACTATTCCATTTTCTTCCCCTCCAATTTTTGTTGGCGAAAATTATCAGCTATGGGCTGTTAAAATGAAAGCTTATTTATAAGCTTATGACTTATGAGAGCATGTTGAAACAGAAAAAGAAATCCCTCCATTGCCATCCAACCCAACTATGGTTCAAATTAAGAATCATAGAGAAGAAAAAGCCAAAAAATTCAAAGCAAAAATCTATCTTCATTCTTCTGTTTCGGATATAATTTTCACAAGTATTATGACTTGTGAAACAGCAAATGAGATATGGGACTCATTAAAAAATGAGTATCAAGGCAACGAGCAAATGAAATTGATGCAAGTTTTGAATCTTAAAAGAGAATTTGAGATGCAAAAATTGAGATGCAAAAAATGGAAAACATCTGGAGGTGTCAAAGAATATGTTAACAATCTCATGTCCATTGTTACAATTAGATTACTTGGGTGAGGAATTTCCTAAGAAAGGTGATTGAAAAAATTCTAATAAGTCTATACCGAAAAATTTGAGTCCAAAATTTCTTCTCTCTTGAAGACAAAAAAAAATCTTTCTGAAAAATTTCCGTTGGTGAAACTAACCTAATGCACTACAAGCTGTGGAGCAAACCGAAAGAGCAATTCAAAGAAGATTAATAATAGAGGCTGCTTTAGTTGCCAAAGACCAATAACCGAAACAAAATATTTATCAAAAGAAAAAAATTTCCACCATGTGGCAAATGCAAGAAAGATAATTATGATGAAAATGAATGATTAGATCCAGATTTCGAATCTCCTCCGCAATACTTTAAAAAAAAAAAAAAAAAAAAAAGTTAAGCATATAATAGGTATCAAAGTCTTAATCAAAAATCCATCCATGGGTAAGTAAAATTATAATCTCATTTCAAAATCTTTTTAAATTAATAGAATAAATCTGCCGTCTCTATTAACCACTTAGCAAAACGAGATGCAATTAATACAAAAAAAAAAAAAAAAACAATATAATATATTTTGGTGTTTTTCTTCCCACAGTGTAATAGCCCATGGTTTCTTTTCAATTGCAACGTTTTACAAAATAACCAAATAAAAAAAAAAAAAAAAAAAAAACAATATTAATATATTTTGTGTTTTCTTCCCACAGTGTAATAGCCCATGGTTTCTTTTCAAATTGCAACGTTTTAACAAAATTAACCAAATTAAGGGAAAAACTAATTTCCCTTGTTTGGATATGGTGAATAAAATTGGAAAGGAATGAAAATTTTAGTTATTTTTTATTAGGTTCGACAAGATTTTAATCTTTTCAATTTGAAGAGAAAGTTAGAATATAATAAAGAAAAATTAAAAATGAATTAGTATATAAAAAGTTTCAACAAGTCAAAACATAAATACAGTATTTACGAATTTTCCTAATTTAAAGTTGAATGATTTATATTGAAAGAAAAATAAATTTAACATGAAATTAATCAACTTGAGGTTATATTATTGAAGGATTTATATTATTTACCACTAAAAAAATAAAGAAATTAGAGGTTTTCCCATTTTAATGATGTTTCTTTCTATAATATATTAATTTTTTGTTTATTGTATTGTAAAGGCACAGTCTGTCATAAATTTTGCTTTTACATCTTTGTCCTTTTCTACTAGTATTTCTACTTCTTTTATGCTTTGTTTGGGAAGAGAGGAAGTTAGAAAAGGGGTGAAAGTAAAATAGGGATGGAAAAGTTTACTATTTATTTTCCTCCCAAAATGGAGTAAAAATGAAGTTAAAATTTGGTGTAAAATAAATTTATTTTACACTCTCCTTGATATTTTACCTCAAACCAAACAAGAAATTTTAATAATTCCAAGAAATTTTCACTCTTTATTTTACATCCATCCAAACTTTACATCCATTCAAACAAAGGTTTAACTTCCAATGCACCTGGCCTATTTCTCAATATTTGGCAATAAACAATTGTGGTGTCTTGGAAGGAATCGTTCCATTAATCATTTCTCCTCCCCTAAATAGTATTGGTACATGTGGCGATTTATATGTTAGAGAGATGAGCAATACTGCCTAAAGTAAACTATTAAAAATACTATAGCTTACCGACAGATTGTGACTCAATTAGCAACACAAGTTGAACATGTAGAAAGAGATTTTGGATGTAATTTCCATTAAACTCACCTACAAGGAGGGAAAAAACTCTTAACTTTGACCAAAACACCGAGCAAGATTAGACAATCCATGGTAATAGGATTCGGATATCAATAGTTTACATAAAAAAATCTAAAACTTTGCATTTTATTATATATTCGATTTTCGGTATTTGGATCAGTTATTATAAAATACTTATTTTCTGATAAAAATCAAATCGTTTGATGGATTTAGTTCGACTTTATTTCGATTTGGTTTGGTTTCAAAGAACAGTTTTTTTTATTTTCAATTTTTGTGATTTGGTTGGAAACTTAACCTCCCATTTGCATACCCCCGGTGAAAAGGAAACAAAGCTTGGATAAGGAAATATGGTAAAGCAAACCCATTAATGATTAACTCCAATTAAGAAGAGGACACTAACCATTGAAACCAAGGCAGATTAAAGACTAGATTTTCGGTTTAAAAAATTAATTCATTGCCAAATGAAAGAGATTTGAGACCAAAAGAATGACATTTATATTGAAGCCAACAAAGTAAAGCAATAAATGAAATGAAACCAAAATAAAAGAGGGAGGATTACTTCTAGCACTTTTGGGGAATAGTGCAATTACACATCTCTCCACACAAAACAAACTAAAATAAAGAAGAAAAGAAGACAAAAAGAGTCTTTGGTCGTGGATTTGACTCGTAGCTTGAATTTATAGTCGATCCTCCCTATGTACCTCTTTGAATAGAAATCAAAACTAAACTATTCTACCCTTTGTAATATGAGGGTTGATCGATTTTATTTTGAAATGATTTATTTTGTCTTTCATCATCATGTTTTAAGTTTTTTAGTCGCCATTGTGATGAAAAAGAGTTTTGACCGAATTATAAAAAAATTTAAAAATATTAACATATTTATTTTTCTATTCTAAAAGTAATTACCTTTTTTTATTTTATTTATTTATTATTTTTATAATTTAATTTTTAAATTTAGATACTAATAGAGCAAATATTAATGATATCTTTACTTGTAATTATTATTAAAAATTAATATTCAATTAAAATAGCAAAACGTTCAAATTTCTTTTTACAATAATCAATTAGATTAATAACATCATTAAATTTAAATGACAAAAAATTGAATATCTGCACAAAACGCAGGTACATGACTGGTTACCTAGTACGACAGTTATCTAGTATTCTAATGTCGTGTGTAATCTTAATTATTAAATTATATGAGAATGGTTGAACCTCTTATATTATAATCATGATGATGATATGATATCATATGGATGTGAATTGACTGGTTTGATAATATGGGCCTAGTGAGCCCTTTTTATGTTTAATTGAAATGAATCTTATGATGTTGGGCTTGAGATTAAGGATGAAAACAGGCCGACTACTTACTTAAAATGCACTATCGGAATCTAAACCTAATTATTATAAATTAAATACCTAAATCCATTTGGTCAGTTTGTCCTTGCTTTGGAAGGTAAGGTAGCGTGGGGTGCTATTGTCCGCAACTCATCTGGTCAGTTTGTTTGCAGCTATTCTTCTTGGACTTTTGGGTATTACTCTCCTAAAGTCGTCGAGGCTATTGCTATTCATAAGGCCCTTAGTTGGCTTTAAGCAGGAACATTTCTCTAATGTTGCTTTGGAGATGGATTGTACGGAG